AGAAATACTGTAATTGTAAGAATCACAGGTCAGTAGGGATGGCCAAAAAATCCATATCTACTTTAGTCATGAAGTCCATGAGTGACAGTCCTTTATATATGATACAGTGATAATAATATATATATATATATATATATATATATAGATAGATAGATACATACCACCAGATAAGTGGCCTGTGGTCTTACAGAAATACCCCATCTCCACAGTGAGTGTTATAGAAGTATATAGATTTAGTGCTAAGATATAAAATTCAGCATACCTGACTAGGCAACACTCACCACTAAGTGGGATCCTGAAATATGATGTATATCAACGAAATAAGATAACAATTAATATTATATCAACTTACTCCAGACAACATATGTAGAATCACCACATGAGGAAGATGATACCTGGCCGAGGAAGACACAGAGAAAGAGTGACAAACGTATTGGGAGTTGTCCACATATCAGTCTGAACTATCTCCTCCAAAAGATGACAGTTTTGAGCAGCTTAAGACTTAGTTAGATGACGAATTTGGTGTGAAAAGGTACAATCCTGAAGAGAAGGGAAGGAGATAGAGGGGGAGCAAAATGGAAGGCAGAAACCCTCAGATGGAACCCATATAAACCATGAAACTGTAGTGAAGTGTAGCCAAAAAGACACATAAACTAAAGAAGTTAGAGAAAGTACTCATTACTTACAAACTAAGTACATAAAAATAAAAAAAACTGCAAAACTATGAAAATCGACCTAAAACATAAAACAATAAGTAACACCTAAAGTACAATACCATTAAAGGAACTGAGAAGATAAACAACCCTTAAATATCGAACTTATATGTCCACTCAAATAATCTATAAGACAAAGGACACGAAAATAAAACCTACCCTGAAGAACATGAAAATAAAAAAGGCACCCAGTTAACAATAACAAAGTTTGACTCAAAACTAATCCCCACTTAGAGGTGACTAGTAATAAAGAAAAAAATAACTTACAAATTAAATAACATTAAAAGTGAAAAGAAGCAAACATTCAAACAAAAATAAAGGAATAAAGAAACTCCAAAGTCAAATTTAAACTAAAGTAACTTAGATGGTAAAAGAAGTATAAAAATCTAACTTACCAAACACTGATCAGAGAAGACATAAATGACCTAAATTATCAAGTGCAGAAATTAGATTCATCCACACTAGCTCACATACATAAACTCCTTGAACTATGGGGTGTGAGAAATACACACTGAAATACTTACCACAAAAAAAGTACAATACCTAACCCAGCAGATTACGAAGAGGTATCAAGTGGAAAGTGCTGTAGAAAGAAACTTTCCACACAGTAGTTCTATCCCTCTGCACAAAAAGCGTAACTTGAAACGAAAGAATTGCTGGCCAATTGTAAAACATGAACTCCCTGTGAACTAAAGCCTGTGCTTCCCCAGCAGACATCATCGACCCCGAAACTTTGTCTACTTATGGCGGGAATTTTACCATCCACCATATTAAATCTTGAATTCATATAAAAAAGTACAATTCGGAAAACAGAAACAATTCAAAAACAAATGATTACAAACAATAGAAATCAAATACAAGAAGTTGAAACTGATATAAATTTGTAATCAAGTACAATAACAATTTTGTAGTGAGATGGAGAATGAGTTAAAACACATGTCTATACACTAGAATGCCAATTGAGAAAGTGAGGATTCTGCTCCAATGGTCGAGGAAACTACCTGTGCTAGTATAGAAGGTGTACTGTGATTGTTGGAGGGTAGTCACAAGATCAGCACACATTGTTGCAATGGCACAAAAATGAAGTGGTAAAATGGACTGGTGCTTAGAGGGTAAATCAAGGGTGAGATAGCTTTGGATGAGAGGAGGTAGTACTGTTTTGGAATTCTAAGATACTATAAAAACTAAGCTATCTTGCCCTCAGTCTCATCTTGTTCTTTCTCTTGTCTTTCTCTTTCTTTTCTTGCTTGAACTTGTTCCTTAAGAGCTGAAACATCAACCTAGAAAAAAAGTAACATTTTCTATTTATTGTGTACAAATGACAATAATTTTCTCTGATAATCATTATATTTAATTCACTTAGGTTATCAAAACTTTTACAATTTTATGGGAACTACTGGAATTGAGCTGAATCATGGTGCTAAGTATATGTTCACCAATGACAGTCATTAACTATGTGTGTGTTATTTCTCTTTTTCTTTTATCAATTTAGCACCTAGCTGGTAATTCACATGAAACCCTGCTTTTACATGTGAGACTCTTCAAAATCCCAATTCAGCTCTACAACAGTTTTTGAATACAAGTTTAAAATACAATAAGTTAATACATAGTTGTTTTTTGCCATTTACCCCTGATGAAGGAAAGTGTACTTTCTGAAATCACTTGGGTTATTGGGTTTCTTTTTCATATACTAAAATTTTATGCTTTTGAATATCATGAATGACTCCAGTTAAAGCAATGTTACTTTTCTAGTACAGTTGTTAACTTTTGGAATAGTTAAACTTCAAGAATGGTACAAACATTGAAAAATATGAAAAAGAAATTGGATAAGTATTATATAAAAGGGGATTATAGAGTTTGGAGGTAGTAGAAAATCGGATAGCCTAAATAGTCTAAATGGTCCCATCTTATCTCTTGCAAATGAAATTAAACAGTCAAGTTACTATTTCATGTCCAAGGGATAACATGGATTCTTTTAAAGATTTAAAGGTAAGTAAAACGTTAGAGTTGGTAATGGGCCCTTAAAAATCCTGATGGCAAGTTTATTGTTGAATATAATGAGATTGGTGAGCTTTCAAATGTTTTCTCTCATTTATTTTAACAGGTGCCAAGTGATAGCCCTGAAGATGCCACTTCAGTTAATACCAATACTATAGCAATACAAATAAGCCAGCTGGCTTGTAGACCATATCCATCATCACTGAGGGTATACACCATGAACAAAGAGATGTCAACAGTGGCAGCAAAACCAACCACCATCTGCACCATGAAGAAAAGTTGGAGAGCCTCTATCTCAGCAACCATCAAGGCAACACCTGCCAAACAGTTCAGAAGCAGCTAAGAGTAAAACTTACAACAAAATCACCAAAGGTGTTAACAACTCACCCCATGTGAAAGTAGATTTTAGTGTATAAATGACACTGCCAGGTGATGAATGCTGACTGGGCTTGGGCCATCTATAAAAGAGAGTAGGACTGGCTATGGCAAAGGGGGAATGCTTCCATTGCAGCTCAATTAAGAGGTGCAAAACTTGAAGGCTGAGTTGGCCAACACTAAGAATGCTCTAGTCAAGCCAGAGACACATTGAAGACCACCATCATGGCCAACCATTAAATAACAGCTTTACTGCATAACCTGCAGGCAGGGTTAAGGTGAAGGGAAACAGTTTTGGAGCTGACTCTGGGTGAGTGTTGTAAACTCTGTATATTTATTTTATATTTTTAATTTAAAATGTATTTGTATGTACATATATATATGTGTGTGTGTGTGTGTTTTATATTTAACCATTTTTAATTTAAAATGTATTTGTATGTACATATATATATGTGTGTGTGTGTGTTTTATATTTAACCATGTTCCCTGGTGTTTAATAGCAAGGGCTTGTTTTATTATAATATATAAATTATATAGAGAGAGGGTTTAATGTTATCATATGCTTCAACTTGATGAGGGTGATTTGCTTCATTATTGAAGGCTTTGTTTTGTGGTTACTTTAATGATAAATTGTAATCACTGTGTTAGAGTATGATTTGAAATTTCATGGGTAAAGAGTATTTTTTTTATACATAATGATTTATTCTTAAAATATTTCTGTGATCATGCTTTTTGTATTTCATTATTAAGGAATTTTCACTATGAAAATGCATCTTCATTAAAAATTTTATCTTTGTACCATCTATGTTAAAGGGTTGGAAGTATGTTGGAATACCCTTTCCTAAAGGGTATGATGATCATTATTAAAAGTTATTTTTAATATGCAAGTTTTCTTTTTAAAAGATTTACTTATGTGTGTGCGTACTTGCAATCTTTCTTAAAAGGTTTTTCACTGTATTATTTCATTGTTTAAGGTTACTTTTCTTTATTGCTATATCTTTCAAAATGTATTACAAATATTCTTGTGTTAAAGGAGTTTCTTATTATGTATTGTTGTTTAAAAACATTTCATTTTTGTTTTATATATTATCATATTACTAGGAGTTTTCATTTTATCATTTTTATTAGTAATTCATTATATATTGTATTGTATTCTTCTAAGTTAAAAGTTTATTGCTTTGTAATTTGTAGTTCTTTGCTTAAATGTATCATCCATTTTGTGTGTAAACGTTTACTTGGGCAAGAGAAAGTTAATGCAATTCTATACCATGTTATGAGTGTAAATTTAATTATTTTAAAGTTAAGTTTAAGTGTTGGCTTGAAGGCAAACCTGAAAAAAGGGGGAAGGAAAAGTATGGTATGCAGATATACAATGCATTTTCTAATTCTTATTTTAAAGTACAATTTTTCAAATATTTTTGTTTACATTAAGTCGATGCAATTTTCACAAAACCCCCAGAAAACTGTTGAGCTATCTTCATTCTTGCTGCCTTTGTTATTTTCTAGAGGTAATACTTGTTCCACCCAAAGGATATTGCTGTAAAACTACACATTGTGTAAGAATGTAGATAGCAGTAGTGTGTTTTGCTGGTAGTGCAGATGATATCTTGAGGTTACAGCCTCCTCCTATGTTGAATAAGAACGACCAATGAGGTGGGTAGCTGTCGTAGTTTCCTGGGATCTCAAGTTAGTTGAGTTTTGGAGAGACATCTTATGGGAAGAAAATCTGTTGATTAATTCAAAAGTCCAGGGAAAGGCAACCATCTCATGTCCAATGTAAGCATGCATACTGTGTTTCCTGTCTTTGGTAAATAAATATTGTTCTTGTTTTGTATTACATATTGTGTCCAGCCTCTTTATTTCTTAGTGATTTTATTTAAATTCAGTATCACTTCATGATTTATAAAGTGGAACAACTTAATACTCTTTGCAGAAAAGTTTAACCTGAGAATATTACAGACCTCATTTGGAATATTATGTTCAGTTTTGGGCGTAGGAACAATGACTAGATGGTTAAAAGGAGGACTACTAGGATAATACCATGGAAAAAAAGTTGTTTTTCATATAAACAGGCTCAGATTTCTGAAACTGTTTTCTCTTGAAAAAAGAAGAGTTAAAGGGGATCAGATTGAAAGGTTTGGGATTGTTAAGGGAATTGATGATTTCAATGCATTGCCTATTTTAATACTTAAAGGTGAGAATGGTAAGACAAGGGAACAAAAAATATAAATTTTGTCAAGATAAGTCATCTTCATCTAAGGCAATTTTATTTTCTAACAAAGTGGTTAACCTTTAGAAGGGTTGCCTTCAGATATATTGAATGCAGTAAATTTAGGAAAATTTAAGGGAAGGTTTGATAAATATTTGAATGATAAAGGCTGGCTTTTATTATTACTTTTTATAATTTTAAAGTTTAGTTTAGTGGATTGGACAACCTCAATGAACCAACAGACCATTGTTGTTTTTAAGTGTTATTTTATGTTGTAAGTCCATAAACTTACTGCTGACCCACTCAGGAGAGGTTATTGACTTATCAGAAAGGGTTCAGAGGATGAGATAAAAGATGAGAGGACACAAATTTAAGATTTGGAAAAGACAAACTAGGCTCAGGTTAAGACAGTTTTACTTTTCTGATAGGATAGCTGACTTATGGAATGGGTTGTCTTCAGCAGTAGTGGATGCCAGCACCTTACAGAAATTCAAGAGGGAAACTGATGATTTTCTGAAAAAGTAAAGAATGTGCTTAAATTTTAACTTTTCCTAAGAGTTAGTGTGTAAAGGCAGCATTAAAGGAACAGTAAATGGTTCTTTGTTGTCTGTTGGTTATGTTATCCCACTTCAAAAAACAATGATTAATATGGAGAAATAAAATAGAATTCTACAAATATATTAATAATATTTAAACAAAAAGCAACATAAAATTTAAATTAACAACAAATTCTCCATAATAATAATACAATTCAGCAAATCATTCTTTGTTATTTCAAAAAATTTGTTTCAAGAATGCCTTATTTACATCCCATTTTTGTAAAGGTTTTATGATAATGTTATTTGTTTTAATAATATTGCAAGACAGGTTAATAGTTCATACTAAACATTTTGTACATAATTAGATTTTTCAGTGATTTTGACACTCTAAGAATTACTTTTACCTGAAATAAGAATAATAATTTCCTACATACTTGTATGATGAAAAATGTCAAACAAACACAACTGAAACTCCAAAACAAAGTTGGTCATACACTACAGCTGAATGTTCTAACTATGTGAGTTTCTGTGAAGTATATTTTAAACAACTGCTTAAAAAAATAACTTAGCAATTACCCACTTCAATGATATATGTATGTATTGACCATTTTTATAGTTTAAAAATTTTACATTGTATAAAATATAAGAAAAACTTTTTAGTTACTCATAAGTTAAAAATAATTAAAAGATAGGGCAGAAAAAACAGTTGTTAATATCTTACAGTCAAACTCACACTTACAGTGATATATAATCTAAACATAATATTGTTGTATTTTAATTTTACATTTAACAATGACATTATACTATATAGACTGAGTGAGTAATGGTGTGTTCTACTAACTTTAATAGTTTATAAGTTTACAGAAAAAGATGTTTTCATTAAAACTTTCTAATCTTGTGCATCAGATATACATTTGGCTTGTTGATTTGTGATTTGAGGCTAACTTAGGCTAACATCCACTTAATTAGATGAATGACCTTTAAAGTTTAAATTCAGCTTAAGTTCAATTTTTCAAGATTATATATTTCTATAATTTTAATAGTATTACTTGTTTTTTAACATATCTAAATCGAGGGATATTGAAAAACACTTACTCCTATTAAACGTTGCTTGGGATTAAAAATTCGTTTTTTTCTATCTTCTTCCAATAGTAAACGTCGTTTAATTTCTTTTCTTTCTCTTTCATCTAAAGGAAAATTTCCTCCCCACATGTTTTTGAGCTGACTATTACTGTTAGTATTACACTTTACAGTATTAGTATTACTATTAGTATTAGACCTATTGTTGGGACAACTGGAAATTACAGTAAAATCTTAACTTTAAATAACTTATCCAAAAAGTCTTTGGCAGCAAGCTAATAATAGAAAATGTAGTAAAGTAACAGTTAATAATCTTCTTTACCTTTCCTTAACTGAATAAGAATAAATTTACTCTGTTATCTGTAACATTAAGCCTAACAGTTAGAGCTTTTATATTCAACTGTTCAAGTAAAAGCGTTCGTTGTCATGACAACATCTCTAATATTGTGTACGAGCACGCTAGTGATAACTGGTAAAACCTTACGGTTTGTTATAACACGAAATCGGCTGGCGTCGCAGATCCTTACATCCAATCATGTTATACCTGAGACACAGTTACAATAGTTATCTCTAACGCGTTTATGGGATACATATATAATAGTTACTAAGGTAGCGTGTCCTGAGTTGTTTTATTTATCCTCGCTCTGGTGGGCATTTAACTGTCTCACTCAATCTCGTTTATGGCGATATTTTTCTCCTTCCCGCTATTTGTACAAAAATTAATAATAACATACGCAGGAGATTTGTTTACGTAAAAGTTTCAAGATAATATTTTATCCTATTGGATATTGCAAAAGATGTAGATAGATAATTGTAATGGGTTACTTGAAATACATAGAGGTAAACAATTTTAAATCTTATAAGGGAAAACAGATAATAGGTCCACTGAAACCTTTTACTGCTATAATCGGACCAAATGGATCTGGTGAGTATCGTGATTTTGAATGTAATTTGTAAAGTGTAATTTCAAATGAAGTGGATTTTAATTTTGCATAAATTTAGCAAGTTACGATCTACACTTAATTACTTGCAGGCCTGAAAGGTGAGAGATTATCTCTTAGCATTTACGGACAACAAACCTCCACTAGTTCAGCGGTAAGTCTGCAGACTCATAATGCTAGAAATCGGTTTTCGATACCCGTGGTGGGCACAGCACAGATAGCCCATTGTGTAGCTGTGCGCTTAACTACAAACAAATAATGACAACAAGGGCCCATATAAACACTAAATTAAGCTCTAAAAAATAAAATCAAAGTCAGCCTCTATCATTTAAATATTTAGCAAGCCATCTCACAAAATCCCATAGACTTACTACATCTGAAGGCAAAAGTCAACCACCCTGTTTTACAGTGTGAGAAAAGTAAAACTATCTTGATTGAAGATGATTCCTACCTTTTCAAATCTTATATTTATATGCCCTTCTATTCTTTCTATTAACTTGGTTAATTATGAAAAAAGATGATGCATCAACATGATCAATTCCCTTAAAAACTGCAAACACATCAATCAAATTCTCTTCAACCACTTTTTTTTTCAAGAGAAAACAGTTTTAGAAGCCTTTACCTGACCTCTTATGACAACCTTTCCAAATTCCATTCCATGTAACATAACATACATTTTGAGGACAACAAGGAACTTATTGGTCCATCAAGGCTGTCCCATCCACTAAACTAGACTTGAATGTCAGCCTTTATTATTTGTTTATTCATTAAGCCTTCCCTTAAACTTTTTTAAATCTACTGCATCCATTACATCTAAAGGCAACCCATTCCAAAGACCAGCCATCCTCTTAAGTAAACAAAACTTAGCTGAAAGTGAAAATGGCTTGTACCCTGACAAAATTTAAATGTGTGTACTCTAATCGTATCATTCTCAACATTAAATAACCTCAACAACATAAGTAGTAACTTTTTCAAAGAATGTCAAAAGATTAGTAAAGCACAATTTTTCCTTGGTGAAACCACGTTGACTATTCAACAAAATTTTAAACTCTGTTAAAATGAATTTTCAGAGTACCTTTTATTAGATTTCAAAAGCTTTTCCCACAACTGATGTAAGGCTGATAGACCTCCTTTGGACCATTTTCAACAATCAGTGTCTTTATTTAGTTAAGGATCTGAAGACTGAACACAGTACTCCAAATGGGGCTTAACCAGTGACTTATACAATGAATTTACAACCTTTTTAAACTTATATTCAATATTTTTGTAGAAGCAACTTAAAATTCTATTTATCCTACCAGAAGCAACAGTACACTGCTTGGATGGCTTAAGAGACTGATTGACCAGAACACCAAACTCCTTCTCTTCCATAATACTGTTAAGGTTCCCATCAAAATGATACTTACAATTTTGCTATGATTATCCGCATCTGTTAACTTACATTTATTATAATCAAAAGCTACCTGTCATATATTTGCCCAACTTGCCAAATAATCTAAATTCTTTTATAAAGCAGTAGTATCCTCCTCATAGCCAGCAACAACCAAGACCATAATATTATCAGCAAATTTAAGTAAATTATATAACATTCACCTATGTCATTGATGTTAAACCAAAATAGTTAAAGGTCCTACATTGAGTCCTGAGGTACCCTCTTGTGACATTAATACAGTTTGACTGCACTCCTTTTATTACAACCATCTTCTTCCATCCAGCCATTTTTATTTCCAATGAGCTAAATTATCCTCCACACCTATAAATATTTTTTTTTTTAACAAGCCTTTTATGTGGCACCTTGTCAAATGCTTTCTGAAAATCTTGATACACCAAATCCACACCCTTAATCCCGTCTATAAGCAGTAGCCTCCTTAAAGAAGATTTATAATGCAAGATTTTTCCCCAGTGAAACCATTTTGACTATCTAACAAGATTTTTAAATTTATTAAATGACTTTGCAAAGCATCTATTATCAGACTTTTAAAACATTTTTTTTCACCACTGATGTAAAACTAATAGGCCTATAATAACTGGGACATTTTTTGTTACTTTTATTACTTCATTTGAAAAATTGTGTAAAGTAGCCAATTTCTAATCTTCTGAAATCTGCCCACTATTCAAAGACTTACAAAAAATAATAGCAAGTGGCTCACATATCCAGTCCTTAACCTCCTTCAAAACCCTTGGGAAAATGTTATCTAGCCCAGGATACTTATAATTCTTTCTATTTTTTTTTAAACAAGCTCAGAATTAATGTGATCATCCTGTTCGATCGCATTTTCATCTAGAAAGTGCTTGGAATGAGGAATATTGTTTACATATTCATTAGTAACAATTTGAGAAAATTCAATAACCAAGCCATCTCATAATCATCAGAAATGAGCTCTCCTTTATCATCTCTCTGAAACCCTACTCCCATCCAAACATTTTACTTACCACTAATGTATTTAAAGAAATCCTACTGTTAATTCATATTTTCAGCCAACTTTTTTCTTATACCTATTTCAATTTTCCAATGTCCTGTTTCTCAACTTTCTTGATCTTCTATAATTCTTTAAGTTTTCCATCATAGCAGTCAATTTAAACTTATTAAATTGTTAATGCTTTTCCTTAATTTTATCCCTTACAGCTTTTGTGATCCAACCTGGTCTTTTATACCTGCAGCCACCTTTTTTTTTTGTATACAAGGAACATTTCCACATTTTATCAGTATATCCAATTAATTCAATTGCCTGACTCAAACAGATAATTATTGTTGCATTCCTTCAAAATCTGTAACCAAAATCTCATTATTTTTGTTTTCCATATGCAGTAAAACATCAAACCTAATTAAGCAATACACTTGCACCCAGGTGTTTCCCAATTTCCACCTTCCTAACCATTTCTATATTAGAAGTTAACAGTAAATCTAAAATAACTTTGTTCCTAGTAAGTTCCCTGATCAATTGGTGAAGAAAACTATCATTAATTATTTCTAAAAACCTGTCTCCCTTATCTCTCTTGATAAGGAATTTCACAAAAGATAAGAAAATCATGTTATGGTTGGGTAAAGACTAAGTAATTAGATTGTAGAGTGGCTTGATGGGGGAAAGCAAAAGCCTCAGGGTTCAGTGCTTGGATGTTTGCTATTTCTCATTAGCATTAATAATATTGATATGGATAGAGACATAATATTAACAAGTAAATCAATAAAGTTGGCTGCTGACATCAATCTCTTGGATTTTTATAGCTGTATTGGAAATGTTGAGATATTATAATATGACCTAGATCAGTTGGTAAATTGGACAAATATTTGGAAAATGACCTATTATTATAGTAACTGCAAGGTAATACACTTTGGTTATCATAAATTGAATCACACAGTTAAAATGACAGGAATCTACTCAATATTGTAACCAAAGAAAAGTATGTTGGAATAGTGGTGGTTATGTCTCTCAAGCTATCATAGCAGTCTTATGTTGCTAGTAGTAAAGCTAATATAATTTTAGGGTGTATGTATAGATATATTGATTACAAGTCAAAACAATTAATTACCTCTATACAGAACACAAATTACACCTCACCTGGAACACTGTATACAGATTTGTGTATCATTATCTAAGAAAAGGTATTGACTTATGAGAAGTAATTCAGAGGAGGCTCTACTAGGATGATTCTTAGAAGGATAGTTTAAGATCTTTTAGTCTCTCTATTTGCTCTTGGCAAAAGATGAGTAAGAGGTTTCTTAAGTTTACAAGATTATCCAAGGAATTAATAGGATAAGGCCTTATGATTTCTTTGTGCTGTATTCTAAAGACAATAGAATGAGAAGACTAAATTTAACAGAAACAGGGACCTGTTATTACACAGAGGCTGCCTCATCCAGTAAACTAAACTTTAAAAATTAATATATGTGTGTGTGTATGTATTCCTATCAATAATAATAAGAACACCATAATAATCAACTCCTATCTTAAATATTTATCAAACCTTCCCATAAACTTTAAAATTTGTACACCACGTCTGAAACAACCCATTCCAAAGATCAACCACCAGTTAGAAAAATAAAACTATCTTAGCTGTAGATGACTCCTAATCTGCCATTATTTATGTGTCCCTTTGTTGTACCATACTTGCTATTAAGTACAAAAAAGATGATGCATCAACACTATCACTTTGCTCACCAATCTTAAATATCTCAATCAGATTCTCTCTAACTTGTCTTTTTTCAAAAGAAAACAATTTTATAGATCTTGATCTGTCCTTGTATGACAACCTGTCCATCCCAAGTGTCATTCTAGTAGCCCTCCTCTGAACCCTTTCTAACAATTCAATGTCTTTCCTAAGGCAAAGAGCCCAAGACTGAATGCAGTAATCTAAATGAGGCCTAAATAGTGACCTATATTATGAAATTATGACCTCTGTTAGTCTTGTATTCAGTATTTCTGTAGAAACAACATGAAATCCAATTTGCCCCAATAATCAACAACAGAACAACAGAAGCTTGGATGGCTTAAAGAGAATGATTAACCAGAACTTGTAGATCCTTTTCTTCCACTAACACTGCTAAGATTATTCCCATCAAAATTATACTTATAATTTGAATTAGGATAAACCACATGCATGACCTTCCATTTATTATAAGTAAAAACCATCAGCCATTTATTTGCCCAACTTGACAAATAATCAAAATCCTTATGTAAAGCAGCAGCATCCTCATCACAACCAGTAACACCCAAGACCTTAATATCATCAACAACTTTAAGCAATTTATTAACCATTCCTTTCTCTTCTGTGTTATTGGTGTGAATTACATTCTTAGCTGCTTTCTGTAAATCCAGACATACCAAATCCACACCTTTACCCTCATCTACATAATCAGTAACCTCTTTAAAGAATGTCAAAGTAATAGTGAGGTAAGATTTTCCCTAGTGAAACCATGTTGACTATCCAACAAAATTTTAAACTTTGTCAAATGAATTTTTAAAGCATCTTTTATCAGACTGTC